TTTTCAGATTCTATTAAATAAAATTTGTTCAACCGAAATAAATATTTATTTGACGGAAAAAAAATTTCGCTAATATAATAAAATTATGTATAGTTATTCCAGATAAAATTGTTTTTTAAAATACTTTTTAAATATTGAATAATTATTGTATTACTTCTTCGTCTTTAATTATTAGAAAATGTGAAGCTAACGATTCCGAGTCAAAGACTCGGAGTGATCGTTACCTTTATATTTTCTAATAATTTTTTAAATATTGTTTAAATACTTTTTATCAGGGAATATTTGCAAAAAAATTTTGCAAACAATGTTTGTAAAATTTTTTTGCAAAAGTACATTATTATGTTAGTAACTATAAAAAGACGAATTATCGAAATATAATATCAGACTAAAAAAAGTGATGAAGTCATAGTAGAAAAAAAAATTTTAAAAAAGAAGCAGTTAAAGAAGAAGAAGGAGAATAAGAAGAGAATGCATAACAAATCTCGAAGTGGATTATTTGAATGAGATTGCAATTTGAAACTCTCTCTCTCTCTCTGTCTAATAGATGAAAGCGCAGGTCATTCGTAACAATTCACGAGTGCATCAACGCGAAACTGAAATACCTAAACAGTTTCTCCTCAACAAAGGGACATGAAATGCAATACAGAGTGCACATTCCGAGAATAACACATGATTAATTACAGTATACACCCTGCAACACACTCCTTGGTTAAAGGGGGTAAACATGTAAATTCGTGTCGTGTAAATTTCGTGATACAAGGCGAAACACTATATATACATATACATATATATACAAGAGGGGAACCAACATCTAACGATTGATATGTTCAGCAGTAGATATGCAGACGAGTTTGATACAAACACATATTGTAATTGTATACACAATGAGAAACAAATACTAACATTCAATAAACAAGGGTCTCTCTGATGTTTCAACATATATACTCACAAATATAAATATATCTATATATTTATAAATATCTGTTCAAATAGCGCAACATTTGGGTGCAATATTGTGTGGAGGCAACATTGCCAATATTGCCCCGCGATATTGGGGTAATATTGCCGTAATTTTCAATTTTGTTCGCCTTTACGAAATATTCCCTCGGAATTTTTCAAATTATTGAAATATAATTCAATTGATTATAATATTTTAACTGAGGGGCCGGATCGAAGAACCGACTCTTCGCTATCTTTTATGTATTGTCAAGTGTCGGTTCTTCTATCCGGTCCCTTAATTATTCCCACGTCGAAAAATTCCATGGAAGTATCCCCCTAGAAATTCCATGGAATTTATTATTAATTATTATTATTTTAAATTTAATTAATTATTTAATTATTCCGTGGAAATTCTGCAAGTTTTATATTTTAATATTTTAACATTTCTATTATAAGAGTCTAATAATAAGCTTTGTTGCAATTTTTAGCAAAACTTGAATGAAATACGAATTTTGCAAAAAAATTCCAAAAAAACGTATTATTAGATTCTAAAAATGATTGGAAACTCAAAAAACTGTTCTATTACATTTAATTACGAATTATTTTTAATTGTGAAATTATTCCAAAACACCAAAAAATTCTTTTTTAAAATAAATACTTAATCATTATTATTATTCCATAGGAATTAAGATTTTCAAAAAATTACAAATTCCAACCTTTATGAAATTCAACAAATTATAAGAATATCATCACAAAACATGAAGATATCAATCACTCCGAGTCGAAGACTCGGAGTTATTGATGTCTTCATGTTTTGTAATAATTTAAATTTCCATAAAATTTTTCAAAAATATATTAAACTATTTACAAAAATTTTAATAAAATCCTTCCTAAGAATTCAATTATTTTTACAAGTATGTAATACATTTTTTCCCATGAATTCAATTATTTTCCTAAATAATAAAATTCTTCATAGGATTTCAATTATTCTTAATAGAATTTTAAATAAATTCCTCAAAAAATTTAATTATTTTGACAAAAATTTTTTGCAAGATTTCAATTACATTTGACAAATAATAAAAATCTTTGCTGAAATGCAAATATTTTCAAAATCTACTATTTTCAGAAAATTTCTCAAAACAATTCAATTATTTAAAAAAATATAATAAAATTCGATATAAAAATTCAATTATTTTCATAAATAAAAATATTATTCACGATTTCAATTATTTATAGAAAATTTAATAAAAATTCTTTATAAGAATTCAATTATTTTTCTAAGTAATAAAATTCTTCACAGGATATCAATTCTTTTTAATACAATTTTAAAAAAATTTCTCAAAAAATTTAATTATTTTCAAAAACTTTTGCAAGAATTCAATAATATTTCAAAAATAATGAAAAATCATCGATGAAATTTAAATATTTTCAAAATCAACTATTTTAATAAAATTTCTCATAAGAATTCAATTATTTTAAAAAAATGTAATAATATTCATTGCAAGAATTCAATTTTTTTTCATAAATAATACAATTCTTGACAGGATTTCAATAATTTAAAAAAAATTTAATAAAAATTCGTTGCCAGAATTGAACTATTTTCATAAATAATAAAATTCTTTACAAGATTTTAATTATTTAAAAAAAATATAATAAAAATTCTTTACAAGAATTCAATTATTTTCCTAAATAATAAAATTCTTCACAGCATTTCAATTCTTTTTAATACAATTTTAAGTAAATTCTTCGAAAAATGTAATTATTTTGACAAAAATATTCAAAATTCAATTATTTTTCAAAATTCATGCTATAATGCTTTTAATATTCAATTGTTATGTAAAATTTTAACTGAAATTTATTTTTAAATCAATTTTTATTAGAAAATTCTACGAGAATTCAATTATTTAAATACAAAAAAAAAAATGCAAATAAATAATTTATTGAATAAATGAATGTTTTTCAAAATTGAATCCTCATAAAGAATTTTATCAACAAATTTTTAAATAATTCAATTTTTCGACGAATTTTACTTAAATCTTGAAGAATAATTACATTTTTCGATGAATTCGATTAAAATTGTATTTAAAATAATTGAAATTCCATGATAAGTTTTATTATTCATGCAAAAATAATTGAATCTCAGTAGAAAATTTTATTATTTTTGAAAATAATGTAATGTTTGCTTTAAATTTTGATCAACACTTTTTTTAAATAATTGAAATCTTTTGAAAAATTTTATTATAAAATAGTAGATAATGAAAATGATTGAGTTGAGGAAAATTTTTGAAAATAATTGAAATTTTGTCAAGAATTTTATTAAAATTTTGGAAAATTCAATTTTTTTCCAGTGCTTTAATAAAAATCCCTGACTATTCTCTGATTTTCCTGACCTATGAGAAACCTGGAATTGTTAAAATATTTTAAAAATAAAAAACTTGCAGAATTTTCATGGAAAACTCCATATTATACTAAAATGTTGTGCTATTTAGTGAAATATAATCACAAATATTTATATATTTAAATATATATTTATATCCTTATCTATATATTTATAAATATCCAAATAACAACAATGCAAGTGAATTGCCTAAAAAGCTAAACAATAGCGAACGCGTGGCCAGTAGATATACATTTTAAATGCCTAATTACACATAAATATAGGAAACTAGAAAAAAGTACACTAGGTTCATAAAACAATAAGAAAAATAAACGAGAGTAATTTAAAAAAAAAAAAAAAAAAATACAGAAGCAAAACAAAAAAAAAAGGAAAGCCTATTTTGACGTTCTGAAACGGAAATAAAGAAAAGACGGCGAAGACGTGAAAGTGGCGCGTTGGGTAAACTCACAATTATCCGTAAATATATTTAGATGTGTTTTTCTTAGAAGGTTTTTTGACCATTTTTTTCAACACGTATCGCATGCGACCTTTCGTTCAGAGTCGTTCTATTGTCATTGAATCCATTATTTCCAATGAAAAAAAAAGAAGAAAAAAAAATGCACTCCATGTGTACACACATATGTTCTGCATTTTTTTTTTGCATTTTATTTTCCATTTTTTTTGTTACAAAAAAAGAAATATTTACAGTTTCAATTGTTTATTTGAAAAAATTTGTTCTCTGTAAATAAAAATATTTTTTTTTCCTTTTCTTTCTAGCAGATAAAAATTTATTTTTTACATTTTACAATTGTTTTGCAAATAAAAAATTGCTTTATTTTTGCGATTAATTTTTTCATCTTTTCCAAAAACAAAATCTTCGTTTTTCTAAATTTCCTGTATGGAACTTTTATTGGAAAATAAATTAAACTAAAGTTTAATAAAAATTTATTTTCTATGAAAATTTCTCCTAATGAGAATTTATTTAAATTCAGAAATTATTTCTTAAAATTTGCCTAAATAATTTGCGCCTGCAAAGTTTGGAAAAAGTTAAGGAAATTACGGGGCGAAGATAAATTTTTCCCACAATATTTTCAAAGGCTCGGAAAAATAAAATTTCAAGGATTATTTTAAATTAAATTTTCAACTATAAAATAAAAATTCGCCTTATAGAAAATTTGTTTAGACCAAAAATTTATAAAATTAATCGCAAATTCTTATTTCCCAGAGAATCAAAATGTCAAACTTAAAAAATAATATATTAAAAAAAAATAAAAACGAACGATTTAAAAAAGGAATTAAAAAAATAGGTTTAAAACAAAATAAGAAAAACAATAGATTTAAAAACGAGAAAAGTTTAAAAGTAATAAAATATTTAAGAAAATTCAAGAAAAAAAATCAAAACTGCAAACAATTGTAAAATATAAAAAAAAAGTTCAAGAAAAAATTAATTTCTTTACTAAAATTACTTTCATGACTAAAGAAAAAATTTTTTTTTTCTTTTTTTTAATGTCATATACAAACATTATATATTCATTACACAAAATCTAACAAGAAAAAAAAATATATAATTTTAGGAAAGTTTCCGTTCTCATTTCTGTTTCCGTTTCGTATTGTCTCGCTTGCACGCTTTTTCAATTTTCTCTATCCACTTCTAATCGATTTCTTTGTGTGTGTATGTCAACAGCTCTGGCATTATAAATAATCCAGTGGTTTTTTACCGCTTAATGCCGGGATCAACAGCGCAAACCAACAAGTTGCACACATTTTATCTTCAACAACGATCGGATAACTCGGTCACATGGGCCGACATAAAGGTCAATCAGCCCTTGGACTACGAGAGCATAAAGGAATATAATCTCACTATACGTGTCGAGGTATGAGAGAAAAAAAAAGAAAATTAATAATTTTATATCACTTCACAATTATTACCCCACTCATGTTATATTTTTATCGTAATTCTATAAATAGAAATTGAAAAAAAAATTACCTCATTATTTCAAATTATACGGATAAATATATTCTGAAATATGTTAATTAACAAAAAAATCAATAAATCAAAGGAAAAAATGAAAAAAATTGAAAATTAAAATTTAAGAAAAAAATTACCATTATTAATTAGTAAATAATTAATAATTAATTAATAAATATATTCACTAATACACTGAATAGCAATCTGATTTTGTTATTAATGTATTTATTAATACATATTTTTGCTAATTAAAAAATTGCTGATTAAAATTAAAATTATTTTGTTTTTAATTAATTTTTATTTTTTAATTAATTACTTTTTTTTAATACTAATTACTATTTTTTAATAATAAAATTATTTTGTTTTTAATTAATTTTTAATTTTTAATTAATTACAAAAGTAATCAAATTATTATTATTAATACTAGCGAATGTTACACTCTAAACATGATATTCATAATTTATTATAAGTATGCAAATTACAAAAATTTTTTACTACAATTTTCGAATAATTTCAGATTAAAAATTTTTTAAATTCACTTAATAAGTATATAATAAATTATTATTGTTTATTATTTTCCAAACTTTTAATAACAAATTCAATTATTTTCATAAATAATAAAACTCATTGCAGAATTTTAATTATTTTTAATCCAATTTTAATAAAATTCAATAATAAAATTTTTAATTGAAATTATTAATAGACCCAATTATTTTAAGAAGTTGAAAAAAATTTTTTGTTTAAGGGCATTTGAACCTTGATGACGTTACAGATTGTGCAAAGAATGTGTGACGTCATCAAGGTTCAAATGCCCTTAATTGAATTATTTTCAGTTTCCAATCAAAATTTAAAAAAAAAACATTATTTTCTAAAAAATGAAAGAAATTTTTCAAAATAATTCAATTATTGTCAAAAACTTAATAGTATCTACTTTTTAAAAGAATTCAATCATTTTCAATATTTTAATAAAATTCCTTGAATGAATTAAATTATTTAAAAAAATTAAAATACAATTCTTAGAAGAATAATATAATTATATTCCAAAAATTTTAATGAAATTCAATAAGCAAATGTCTAATTTCAATTATTAACAAACTTGATTATTTTAAAAACTTGAAAGAAATTGTTCATAACATTTAATTACTTTCAAATTTTTAATTAAAATATTGAAATAAAATTAAATAAACTTCATTATTTAAAAAAAAAAATTCAAAGAAATTCTGCAAAAGAATTTAATTAAGATTTTCAAAAATTTTAATAAAATTTTTCATAAGAATTCAATTATTTTCAATACAATTTTAATAACATTTCAGAAAAGGATTCAATTATTTTCTCAAATTTTAATAAATTCTTCGATTCAATTCAAATTTTTTTTTATAAATAGGTAGTAAAATTCTTTGCAAGAATTAAATTATTTTTATAAATAATTAAATTCTTCTCAGGAATTCAATTATTTTCAATAAAATTTGAATAAATGTTAAAAATCAAAATTTTTAATAATAATTATTGACAGACGCGATTATTTTAAAAAATTAAAAAAATTCTTTGTTTAATTCAATTATTTTTCAAACTTTCAATTAAAATTATTAAAAAAACATTATTTTCAAAAAACTTAAAGAAATACTTCAAAAGAATTTAATTATTTACAAAAACTCTAATAAAATTGTTTAAAAGATTTTAACTTTCAATCAACAATTTTAATGAAATTTAGGTAATAGTAAAATTATTAATTACAATTATTAACAAAAAAAAAAAATTATATTCAAAAAAATTCTTCAAAAGAATTTAATGAACATTTTCCAAAATTGTAATAAAATTCTTCGCAAGAATTTTAATTAATAATTTTCATAAATAATAAAATTCTTCGAAGGAATTCAATTATTCTCAAACTTTTTGATAAAATCCCTTGCAAGAATTGAATGATTTTAAAGACATTAATTTAAAAATTGAAAATATTTGGAAAGAAAAATGATTAAAAAATGTTAATAATATAATAAAATTTTAAATAAATAAATTTTTATAAGTAAATAATACAAAAAAATTTTAAATAAATAAATTTTTATAAGTAAATAATATAATAAAATCACAATTTAAAAAAAAGGCAAACAACAATAGTCACAAATTAAATCCTACAGTACTTAACAACCTTAATTTTTTTCATTAATAAAGCTCTCAAGTCTAATATTCTTAACTTATTAAAAATAATTTCACCTCAATCTTTTAAATATTTTATACAAATCCGAGAAAGAAGATTAATTTTTTCCATGATGTGAATTTTCTTTTAGAGACGTAATGCTATAAAGCAAAAAATATTCTCTTTGTTAAAAATGCATTAGAAAGAAAATTGATAATTTTTTTTCTTCTTTCTTTTTCTTGAAAAATTAATTTATGTATGTAAAAATTAAAACAAAAAAGAGTTCATTATGTACAAGGGAATTTATGTGGTTATTTTTCCGTCAATATTAGAACAATGGAGCTCAACAGCTGGCCTCTGAGGCGACTGTTCACATTATGCTTGAGGATGTGAATGACGAGATTCCTCTCTTTACGGAACGAGAACAGGAAACTGTTTTGGAAGGTGAACCCATTGGCAGTAAAGTCACTCAGGTCAACGCAATTGACAAGGATGGTACTTTCCCCAATAATCAGGTAATTACTTTCATTTAAAATTCACAAAATGGAAAAATGAAGCTAAAAATTGAATAAAAAATGATCGAAAAAATGTTTTGTAGATTTCGTAAAATTTATTCAGTTTTAAAATAGAATTTTAGTGTAAATAAACAAATTAGTAAATCTATTTAATTATAATTACTCTCTAAATTTATATTAGAAATTTTTTTACTAATTTGAATTAGTAACTAACTTTTTGCTTTTGAATTAGTAAATTTTATTAATAAATTAGTAGAAATTAATTTCTAATTAATAAAATTTTCTAATTCAAAAACAGAAATTCAGTCATTATTTCAGAATAGTTAACATTTTTACTAATTTGAATTTAGAGAGTAATTATAATAATTATAATATTTATTATTTTTTACTAATATGTAAAAAATAATAATAATAAAAATAGTAATAATAATAATAATAATAGTAATAGTAATAATAGTAATAAAATAATTTAATAAAATATTTGAGATTAAAAGTAATTTCAAATTTTCTAAAATTGAACTGCATTTCTATTATGAAATATGTTCAAGGAGCGCAAAATATAATTTTATTAATATTATAGAGATGTGGATAACTTTTCGAAACTCCAACAATTTCCTCTAGCTTTCATATTTTACCTACTTAAAAAATTCTCTATGAAAAATGTTTCAAAAATTTATGAAAACATTAAAGAATTTTCCTCTAGACTATTACAGAATATTCTCGACATCTATATAACATTTTTTTTTCCTTTTTGAAATATATTTCGAAAACTTTTCTATATAGGAAAATTGTTAAATTTTAAATCTAACACAATGGAAAAAAACCCAATCTTATCAAGTTCTTCTTTTTCTCTACTTTAAAAACATATAATTAAATTTTTTCTCTTCGAAAATTTTAAAAATTTAAGTAAAAAAAAAATTGAAAATTTTATTTTTTGACTCCTCTATTTAGCAGTAAATTCAGATTATTAATATTTAATTTTTTCGTTCGAATAAGGACAATATATTTTCCAAAGTGATTAATTTGTACTTATTTTCAAACTAAAATATGATGTGAAATGTCGTCAAATTTTATTCGAGGTGAATGTCATCATTTAATAAAATGGAGATAAAAGAAGCAAAAAAAAAAAAAGTGAAAAAAGAAAATAATTCTATTCCAACGATTGCTGTATTGATGAAAAGCACTTTCAGTATAATATAAAGCTTTTAATTTTTTTTTATCGATAATTCATCATATTTTATATATATATTAGAAATCGGTTCACGAATTTCAAGAGTAAAGTATATTCGTTCATAATCCCTATTCAACGTTTCACATTATTATGCGTGAAACTTTACTTTTATCGAAAAACGATAAAATTCATTGCAAAATTCTCTTTTCATATGATGATGATGTGCGCGAATTGTATTAAACATATATAAATGAGCCAGATTTTTTTCTTTTAGAAAATTTTCTTCGCAAAAAATGCTTTATAAAAATATTCATAATTATTACTTTATTTCTTTTTAAAAATATAAAAAAAAAACAATTAACTTTTGTTGACCGTTCGTAAATTCATTTTTTATCATAATAAACGCTCATTCTCTTATCTTTCACAATTTCCCGATTTTTATATTAATTTTCTCTATTTTCTTTTTATATAATATGAGAAATTTAATAATTTTTAAAGAGAAATAAATACTGATAAAAAAATCACAATGGTTTTAAGTAGAAAAATTCATATTAGTCAGACATTTATCAATCTAACAAAATATTTACAATATATTTTTTTAGAAGTTTTTAGTTAGTTGAAAAAGAATTTTTGGCTTTCCTACGTTTTTAGTAATTTTAAAGCAGAAAAGATTTTTAAGTAGTAAGAAACCATTATAGTCAGACATGTTCACATTTTTACTATTTAAAACATTTTTCAGTAGAATAAACAAATTTAGGTCAGAGAGAAAGAAATATGATTACTAATTTTTAACAAGTAGAAAACAAAACATTGATAAGTAGAAAAATCCAGACTGGTCAGACATTTTTTAGAAATCTAAAAAAATATTTACAATATTTTTTTGTAAAAAAAAGCTTTTAGTCAGATAAAAAAGAATTTTTGATTGCAATACCTTTTTAGTAATTATAAAAGAAAAAAGATTTTTAAGTAGTAGAGACTTTTTATGGTCAGACATTTATAAATTTTTACTATTTAAAACAGTTTCCAGTGGAATAAACTTGTTTAGGTCAGACAAAAAGAAAAGATAATATTTCCAACTTTCAACAAGTGAAGAAAGAAAAATTTAAGTAGAAAAATATAGTTTGGTCAGACATTTATCATTCAAATATATTTACAATAAATTATCAGTAGAAAAATGTCTGTTTAGTCAGACAGGAAAAAACTTTTGGTTTCCTAACATTTTATGAATTATCAAGCAAAAAATATTTTTTAAGTAGTAAAGAACCGTTATAGTCAGACAATAAAAATAATTTTAAAAAAATCCAGTGGAATAAACATGTTTAAGTCAGCCATAAAGTAAGATGAATATTTCCAATTATTAAAAAGTAGAGAACAAAATACAATGAATTTTCAAATTTGTGAATTGGAAAAATTCAGAAAAATTTATATAAATGTTTAGACATTTTCATGAATCTAAAAAAAATTTCCAAAATATTTTTTATTAGAAAAGAAGTTTGTTCGATTAGAGAAAATAGAATTTTTGTTTTTCCTGCTCTTTTTTAGTAATTATAAAACAAAAAAGAATTTTAAGTAGTAAAGAACCTTTATAGTCAGACATTTACCGGTTTTCTGTATATTTAAAATTTTAAAACAATGTTCAGTGAAATAAACTTGTTTAGGTCAGACAAAAAGAAAGGTGAATATTTCCAATTTTCAACCATTGGAAATAAAAAACATAATTAAGTAGAGAAACATAATTTAGTCAGCCATTTTTCAATCTAATATACTAACAATAAATTTGCAGTAGAAAAAGTCTGCTTAGTCAGACAGAGAAAAAATTTAGTTTCCACCCTTTTTAGCAAATATAAAACAAAAAGAATTTCAAGTAGTAAAATTCCTGACGGTCAGACATTTACTGATGTTTATTATTATTAAAAATACTTTTCTGTGGAATAAACCTGTTCTGTATTAAGTCAGACCGAAAGAAAGGCGAATATTTCCAATTTTCAACAAGTGAAGAACATAATTCTATTGAAAAGCCATTAAATTAAATTCAAATAAAATAAATGAAAAAATAAATAAACTAAATAAAAAAATAAAAAAAACTAAATAAAAAAAATTAAAAAACATAGATTTATTATTACTATTATTATTATTAAAAAATAAACGACATTACTTTTGACAAATCGTCCAAATTGAAACATGTGATTTTTATCTTTCAGGTCACTTATTATGTCGTGAACAGTGACAGAAATGAGGGAAAAGATTATTTCGAGATCAATAGAGAATCGGGTGAAGTGTTTACTAAAGTCGTGTTCGATCGTGAAAAGCAAGGAGCTTATGCTTTGGAAGTTGAAGCCAGAGATGGTTCAGCATCAGCAAGACCCAACAGCAATAATCAACCAAACTCCGGTAAGTGTTCCTTTTAATTTTTTTTTTTTTCTTTCATTTTTCCCTTTTTGACATCTTTCAATTTTCAAATCCATTTCACTAAAAATATCAACGAAATCGATTTTCTCCTATTTCACCTTTTATATATAATACATATATACTTATAATCTCTCAATACCAAAAGAAAAGGAAGAAAATTAAAACTTGAAAATTCTCAAGTATTATTTGCGTCGCAGTAGAATCTGTCGTTACTTGGTCAGACTTAAAATGTTTGATATTAAATTGTCTGACATAAAATCTATATATATTAATATAATACGAACAAAATGAAACTTTTCGATTTTTCGGTTGAAATAAAATTTTGAGGAAAAATTTTTTTCTCTTTTTTCGAGAATAAAAATAAATTTATTTTAGTGGAAAAAATATAAAATATTTTCAGTAGAGAAATTCATTTTTGGTCAGACACAAAACAATCTTAAAAGCCGATTACCATTTCAGTGGAACTATCCCTTTTTGGTCAGACAAAAAGAAGTGAAATTTTAAATACGAAAAAAACAAATTAATTTTACAGTAGAACATACCGTTTTTTGTCAGACAAATAATGGAGGAAGATTTAATTGCTTTCTGCCAATGTAAAACAAAACGTTGTGAGTTCGAAAAAAACCAATTTAGTCCGACACTAATAAAACAAAATTTCGAAATAAAAATCTCACAGTAGAAAAACAATTGTTTAGTCAGACCAAAAAATTTTTCAGAAGAATCTAAAATTTATTATCAAATAGTTTTAATTTTTAAAATTTCAAATAGTTTTAATTTTAAAAACTTTAAATTTTTAAAGTTTAAATAGTTTCAAATTCTACAAAAAATATATTACTTTTCTCTAGAATATATACAAAACGTTTTTGTCAAAATAACAATACAAAAAAACATTCAGTGCCGAAAAAAACTATTTTCGAGTGAAACACAAATAAATCCTATTTGTCAAAGTAAAACATTCCCCAGAAAAAAATTTAACTCGGAAAAAACTATTTTCTAGTAAAAAAAAGCAGAAAAATCGTATTTGTCAAAATATCAAGAAAAAATTTCAGGGAAAAATTATTTTCGAATGAAACAATAGAAGAAAAATTCTATTTGTCAAAATACAATATCTAAAAAAAACACTAAAAAAAATATTTTTTCGAGTGAAACAAGCAAAAAAAATCGTATTTGTCAAAACATCGAAAAAAAATCTTAATGGAAAAAAGCTATTTTTGAGTGAAACAATAGAAGAAAAATTTTTTAAAAATATTTTTGATCCTCAAGTAAAATTTCCATTTACAAAAAAACAAAAAGAAAAATAACTTGAATTAAAAACTAATTATAAAATTAAATTACAAAATTTATACTCCATAAATCATGGAGAAGAACATAAAAAAAAAGAAAAATATCGAATAAAAACGTGGCTTTTCAATAGTGACAGCAAAGTTTATGGTCAGCAATAAATCCATAGAAATTTTCACTCATCTCGAGTAAAGTTTCTACAGGCAATGAAAAAAAAAAAATTTTTATACCAATTTTCCAATGGATTTACGACTTTATTCCATTAAATAGTCTCGCGCTAAAATTCAAATCGACCAATTTACCCGAGATGAGAAAGAGAGACAGAGAAAGAGAAAGAGTATAAGTGACTAACTTTCTTTTAAGCAGAGAAAACTTTTTTTACATGCAAAAAATAGATTAAAAAAAGAAAAAAAATAATAAAGTTCTCTCACGAGCCTTGGCTCCTTTTCCTATATATTGATTAAAAGACAATTTTTTTTTTTTTTTTTTTTGCTCGGCGTGCAATAAACTAAAAATGCTTTTAATGGAAACCTATTTTCAGAACGGTGCTCGTTGTTCCTATATAGTTTCAATATCGTGGGATTTAATATTCATGAAAAGATGGCAAAGAACTTTCTCTTAAGAATAATTGAAATACTTAAAATTGCACGATTTTAAAAAAAATGCAATTTCCGAATGATAAGTTCCAAGTATTATGTATTTTATTTTCAAATATTGAAAAACTTTTCTGAATAATACACAAAGTTAAGTACTTTCATTTTGAGAAAACGATAAATATTTATTTAATTTAATTTTTAATTTATTTAAATCAAAAAATTTCGTTAATAATAATATATTTAATAATATTTTATTTGATAAATAAAATTTTAATCAGACCCGATTTTAATAACATATTTTAAAAAAGTCAACTATTTATTTTCATACATAAAAAAATGAAAGCAAATTTTATGAACTATTAAAGAAAATTTCACGGCAATGAAAAGATTTTACGAACATTAAAAAAAAAATGTTTTGTAGTCAAGAAAAAATGTTATGCGTAAAAAAATATTTATAGTTGAACAAATTTTTATGGCTAAAAACCAGTTTATAATTAAAAATAATATTTGAGGCTAAAAGATAAATAGCTAACAAAAATGTTTATAGTTAATAAAAATGTTTATAGTAAAGAAAATTTATAGTTTGGAAAAATTAATTTTTTATTTATAGTTGAAAATATTTATAGTAATTTTTGTATCTATAGTTAAAATTTACAGGGGACAAATATCGAGAGTTGGAAAATTTTGTTTCTACAGCTAAAAAATGTTTATAGTCAGAAAAGAAAGAATTTATAAAAAAATATTTCTAGTTAAAAAATGTTGTTTATAACTAAAAAAATGTGTAGTTAAAAAAATTTATATTCACCTAAATATAAATTGAATATTTTTACTTCATAAATAATTATTTTTAATATTTTATTTTATTTTATTTAATAAATAATTATTTTTAATAATATTTTATTTAATTTTATTTAATAAATAATTATTTTTAATAATATTTTATTTAATTTTATTTAATAAATTCCCTTCTCAGTAAAAAATGAAAATAAATTAAAAACTAAATATAAAAACCTTTTTTTAATAAAAGAAAGTAAATTCGAAATAATTCAATAAACTCTTTTTCATTCTATATCCACATATTTTCAGGAGAAGTAAATCTAGAGGTAAATATGAAAATAACTGTAATTAAATTGTCACTCATTGTTGGGCACTCTTTTTTAAAATTTTAAACTTTTTTATATTTAACACTCATCAGAGGGACTTTCCAATCCCATAAATGCAATTATTTTTCTGTAAAATATATTTTTCTTTTAATTAATTCTTCTATACGTAAATATACATATATATATTTTTTTTTTTTGCTGTTTCGTTTTATTCTTTTTTTTAGATTCTGACATTTTCCATTCACTTTTAACGGCACTTTTCAATGGATCGTATTAAAATAACAATTCTCTCTCTATTCTTTTGCTTGCACTTTTAACGAAACTTTTTTTTCAATCATTTAAAAAGTTTCCTTTCGAATAATACGAAAAGTTTTTTTTTTCATTCATTCATTCATTCATTTGAAAAGTTCCTTTTTAACTGTAAAACTTTTTTCAATTGTAAATTTCTTCTTTCAACTATAAAATATTTTTTTTTGTAAACATTTTTTTTAAACTACAAATTTTCCAACTGTGAATAATTGATTTAGAAATTTATTTTATGCACATTTTTTTAATTGTTTATATTTTTTAATAACCATTTTTTATAAAGTTGTCCCGTTATTAAAGAAATAAATAAACATTATTTTAACTACAAATATTTTAGTTAAAAACATTTTTTCAACTGTAAATTTTTTGAACATGACAAATTTTTTAACGCATATTTTTTAACTATAAATATTTTACTAATAAACCTTTATTTAATTAAATTTAATAATAATAATAATTTTCTTTCAGAAGCTCTTTTTTGTATTTAATTATTTTTTAATCGTTTTATTTATGAATAAAGGAAATAAAAAAATACTGTCAAGTAGATAAAGGAACGTTTAGTCAGACAGAAAAGAAACTTTGATTTCCAACGCAAATACTGAAATTCAAAATAATGTTAGTAGTAAAGAAAAACTACAGTCAGACGTTCGGGGATGTTTATTTAAACCTTTTTTTAGTGGAATAAACCTGTTCAGGCCAAACAAACAAACAAACAAACAGTTGGCTTTTTAAATTTTCAAAAGAGAAAAAGAAAAGAAGAGAAATGATTTTCTCTTTACTATTAAGTAGAAAAATCCAGTTTGGTCAGACATTTATCAACAAAAAATATGTTTACAAAATTTTTCATTAAGTATTATGTATTTAGTGGAAAAAACTCAGTTCAGTCAGACAGAAGAAATATTTTCGTTTTCTATCTTTTTGTCAGTTGAAAGAAAAAGAATTTTAAGTGCAGAAAAACCTTTGAAGTTAAAAATTTGCTGATTTCTAATATTCAAAATACTTTCCAGTGGAATAAACCTGTATGATCAGCCAGAAAGAGAAGGCAATATTCCCAAACAAAAATATTTTTTAATTGTAAAGAATAATTATAATGTCAAAAATTTATTGATTTTTATAACTTAAAACAATATTTTCAGTGAAATAAATTTGTTTAGTCAGACTCAAAGAAACGTGAATATTACTATTTGTCGTCCATCAGGGAAAAAATATTATTAAGTAGACAAAATACTGTTTGGTCAGACAAATGGAAAAGAGCATGAACTCGATTTTCAACAAGCAGAAAATAAAAAACTATTAATTAGAAAAAACAAGTTTAGACAGACATTGATTTATTTTAAATATTAACAATACTTTTTAGTAGAAAAATCGAGTTTAGTCAGACAACCAGTTTTAATCAGACAAGAAGACTAGTAAATTCTAAAAAGAAATTTTGTAATAATTTAAATTACCATAAAATTTTTCAAAAAATATTTAATTATTTACAAAAATCCTAATAAAATCCTTCGCAAGAATTCAATTATTTTCACAAGTAGTAAAATTTCTCAAAAGAATTCAATTATTTAAAAAAAAATTTAATAAAATTCGTGGGAAGAATTCAATTATTTTCATAAATAATAAATCGATTATTCGGTAATTCATTTTTAAATTAATTTTTATTAGAAATTTCTAGAAGAATTCAATATTATTTAAATTATAA